GTGTGTGTGTGTGTGTGTGTGTGTGTGTGTGTGTGTGTGTGTGTGTGTGTGTGTGTGTTGTTATATATATATATATATATATATATATATATATATATATATATATATATAACCAGATGTGATTCAGTCCCTACCTCCGCAGTGGTAATAATTCCCAGTGAGTTGGTACCATGGGCTCCCCTCAACCTCGAGTTTCCCTTCATCTACTATCTCTTGTGCAAAATTAACATCTTATCCCACTCTCTCATTGTCCTATTTTGAGAGTTGAGTATGGTCGTTCTCAGACTGGAGTGCCTGTGCCAGGTGATCCCCTCCATTCAAGTTGAGATAAAGGCCACTTTGTACATGCTGTTGAAGTTGTGAGTATTTATTTTAACACGGATGCTGATTGTTTACCTAAAAAGATAAGACTGTTGTATTTTAAATGTACTTGTACACTACTTAATTCATATAACTACCTAAAACATGCAAAGTACCTATGTAGCACTGATATACAGACTCGTATGCGGATCGTTTATTTAACATACACAATGCCAGACACTCTCTATAGACTATAGTGAGTATACGTAGAATAACGTCTAAACAGTTAAACACTAGTTTCAAGAAAAATAAGCAGAGAACAAGAAAAAAGCTTTTTTTTTTTCAAAATACCTTTTTCGGTGTGAAAGAGTATAGAGAATTAGAGACTCGCTGCGGGATAAAAAGGTATGGCACTATGTACCAATTTAATAACTTTTATTTTTAACGTTTACTCTGATTTGGAATTCTAGGAATCCGGAATTCTTGAATCTAAGGGTTACACGACTGAGAGGTCTGGCATACCGTAATTAGTATTTGTTTTGTTTTATATTTAAAGTTGGCTATGATTTATTAATTATTATAGAGAGATTATGTCTCAAAGATCTGTGGCAAAAGTCACCGCCTTGTAAATTATAAATATTTAGAACCATAAGCAGACGCTTCTTACTTTCTTCCCCACCGCATTCTACATGAAACTGTGTGCTACTGCGAGATATCTACTGCAAATAGATATACCTCTACGCATGTATAACGTATTATAAATTTATTTATTATTATTATATCAAGTCTGAACTTGTTCACCATTTAATTGCGTCTCTTCCTCGCCATCCTCCTTCTCATCCAGCAGAGACAGCCGCTTCTTGCTCTTCTTATTGGTCACAAACTCTCTCCGTTTCACCCCCACACTCTGCGGGAAACTCTGTGGGTCGCTGGCCACATGCACATTATTCCACCTAGCTAGAATACCCACGAGTCTGCAGTTTTCCTGACATAGCCGCCCATTCTCAACCTTCAGCTGTGTCAGCTTCCCCTGTACCAGTAACAGCATGAGCTCTGCATCGGTGTCCTTTAATCCGTCCGCCAAACTGACCCGGCGACCGGTGCCAGTGGTGATTGTCGCACGCATGGACGTAGCCACGTCTCTGGAGCCCATGCTGCGTGATAAATTGTGTCGCATACCCGACAAGGCTGTCGTATTGTCTAATTTGCCCACTCCTTGGGTTCCCCTGAGAATAGCTCTGCATTTCGGTCCGAATATCATCAGCAGCATTATGGTCAAAGGTACGTATGTATACAGGAAGAGCATGACCAGACTGCTGTTGACATTTGCCGGTAGTAGTGCGTATAGTACTATACACATAGCCTGAATAGCCAGCCAGTTGTAGACCGATGCTACCACCATGTGTGCTTCGTTGAAAGCGGAAGGGGCGTTTCGAACCTATTGTGTGTTGGTATGGGTGTAGTGATAGATCAGATGGGTCAAAGTTCACGAACATGTTTGAATATACAGTATTGCTGTGTCTCCGTGGGGCGTATAGTTGCATACATACAAAACTCAGCGGATATGCATGAGTAAGAGTGTGTATCAAGGTGTCGCTATAACATACCATCACGTTATATATATATATATATCGACTGTCATAACAATCGCACTATTTTCTGAACACCTATTAGTATGGAAATACCTCCTCAATATCATGAGGGTAACTACTTGCACAGACATACCCGGAATATCTGAATTTGTACTGAAAGTAGATAGAGCCCTTGCATAGAAACCCAATATATTTGTCTGAAGTTGTCTAAGGAGTGAGAACTTGTAGACATACGTAAAATCCAAAATCGATGCTGAAACCAGGTACAAGACTTGAACAAAAACTTATTATCTCAAAAACTCGATATTATAAACGCACCCAATAGTACGAACACACCCCTCGATATCGTGAGAATACCTACTTGTACATACATACCCTGAAAGCCAGGACTGATGCAGCAATCAAGTACACCACTTGTAATCCCACGGCAATATACATAGGCGGCGTTTGTAGGTCACATTCGTACCAGAAGCTGTGGTAATTAGAAAAAGATTAACCTATAGGGACATATTCAGTGCATGAATATGATCTCAATATATGTATGGGGGTTCACTCACTCACTCAGTACTTGTGATAAGAATACGTTCTCCAAATTACACGTGTATGCAATACGGTCGAATGCAAGGTAAAAATATCGGGTATATATGCATATATATATATATATATATATATATATATATATATATATATATATATATATATATATATATATATATATATATATATATATATATATATATATATATATATATATATATATATATAGTATA